TTAAAAATGAATTCTTCAGTACAGTAGCCACATTTCAAGTTTCAACAGCCACAGGAGGTTAGTGGCTATATCATACATGGTACGTATAGAACATCTCTATTGTCGCAGAACGTCCTATGAGATAGTGCTGCTCTAGAGGTTTCATTTCATCCTTTTGGTTTGAAATGCCTTTGGGCCCTAATTTGTTTTGAAGCATGAAAGTGAACTCCAAGGCTTGAGTGGCTTTTATTCAAGAAAGCTGGAGCCAGGAGGGCCAATAAGTGTGCCCACTTTGGTTCCATTGGCCTCTCTGGACTCTTCTCAGGCTAGGAGAAAGCTGAAAGGGAGGCCAAAGCTTTGATCATGGAGAGTTGCCAGGGACAGATCTCCTCTGGAGTGCTCCCACTGGGGAGTTAGTGAGAGGCAATGGGCACTGGCTACTCCCTGTGCAGGCAACAGCCCAATAGGATGCCTCCAGCCAAGGGAGACGAGATTAGTCCAGAAATAGAAACCCTTGCTTCTCCACCCCTCCATGACCCACATGGGAGCCTACAGGAAGGGGAATAATTAGGAATGTCCCATCTGTAGTGAGCTCCTGCCTTCCAGGGAAGGCCAACTTCTGCTAAGGGGAGAAGCATGGAGACAGCCCTACCACTAGTTCATCATCAACTCCACTCTTCCTCTCTTTGTTGTCTTTGCTAAGTCACTGTCAACATTAAATTCTAGGCAACTAAGTGACATCATCTTGCCTTCTGGTACCCAAACCCATGAGCTGAGAGTGGAGTATCTGTGGCTAACTCTACTTCCTCTACCAGGTTCCTGCACTCTCCCTCCATGGTAACGTCAGAGCAGCCAAAAACCTTGGGACTATGCAGGCTCATCTTATTGGCCTAGAGTATCTGCTGTGTGGCTCCCTTTTCTCCTCCCCTTGTCCTCTGGGAAAGGTCGATTTGGGAATTTTAACTGGGATTGTACTGAATCTATGGATTAGTTTGAGGGGAAATGAGGTCTTAACAATACTGCGTTTTCCAATTCATGAACACATCTCTCCATTTCAGTCTTTCTTCATTTGTCTATAAAATTGTATGGTTTTCTCTGTAGAGATCTCAGTCACTTTTTGTTAGATTTATTCCTCAGCACTGGACATTTTTCAGTGCTTATCATAAAAAAGTATCTTAATTTTTTTTTCCTATCTTTGTTGGTAAATGTCAGCTCATGACAGGATGACGATCTAGCATGTCCAATCATTCCAGCCCAACTTTTTCCCATGCTGACCAGCTTGGTCTTGATAATCATGTAGGGCCCAGGTACCATCCAGGTATCTCCAGCTAGTTATCTTTTACTCCTAGGGAAGGAATTTCTTCTTGCTTGCTATTAGTTATTCAAATCAATACCACTTTCATTGTACTTTCTTCAGACCATCCCCACAGATTCCTAACATCTGTTGGGGGGGGGGGCTGAATTTTTCTAAACTAGTTTATGTTCTCTAGTTTTTTGTGAAAAAAATTTGTTTAGCATGAACACAATATGAATTTCAGGAGCTGGGCAGTTGGAGTCAGGGCAGGGATTTACTTGAGTAAATTCATTTTCCATGGAGTAGTGAAGAGAACATGTAGAAATGAAGAAATTGGGAACATCAATCACTGCGAAGACGATAAAAGAAGGAAGCAAGAGTACAAACTGCTCTACTGATAGATCAACCCACCAAGCAGTCAGAGAGATAGAAAGGACAGAGAAGAAAACCCAAGCATTCAGCCCTCAGACAATTTACTGACTATAATTAATGTCAACTATGACACTTTGGGTATTGAATGTCCCCTAAAGGTTCACATGTTTAATGCTTAGTCCCCAGAGTGGCACTACTGGGGGTTAGTAGAATCGTTGGATTTAGTGGGAAGCCCTTGGGTCACAGGGTTGTACCCTTGAAAGGGACTATGGGAGCCTAGTCTGTCCTCTCATTACATTTTGGCAGCAGATGGGACTATTATGCTCCTATATGTCCTCCTGCCATGATATGCAGGTGGCTATTACTCTCACCAGATGTTGTCACCCTGCCTATACTTCCAAAACTATCAATAACCCCTTTTCTCTTTATAAATTAGTTGCTTCAGGTAGTTTGTAGTAGTATTAAAAAGCTGATTAACACTAAGTTTTCCATATTCTTACTGCTTAATTATCCTTTTACAGTAAATATTTGAAAGTATAAACTCATTTTTATGATATATCAACAATCATGCCATGTGAAATATAAAATTCAGAAGAGAATTTTACTTAATGGTGGGACATGAAAGTTATTATGAATTACAGGTACACTATTAGACGCCACCTGTTCTTATGCAATATCCAGCCAGATATTTCTATCAGAGTTTTGAGGGGTTTCTGTTTTGGTTTTCCTCATAAAAAAATGAGGATACTTTTCCTGGAATATACTCCTTAATGAAGAACATAGTACAGTGAGGATCCAGGGACCTAACACTCCTTTCCCCCTCCCAACTGGTCAACCTTCTCTATATAGCTAGAGCTAGTGGCCTTTGTCCCTCTATTGTCACAAGTCTCTTTAGGGGAATTTAGAGAAAAGATCCATTCTTCTTCCTTTCTTCCTATATTGGAGATTAAATCCAGAGCCTCACACATGCTAGGTAAGCACCAAGCTACATCTGTAGCCTTTTAAAATTTTATATTGAGATAGGACCTTGCTAAGTTGCCTAGGTTGGCCTCAAACTTGTGATCCTTCTGCCTCAGGCTCCCAAATAGCTGGGATTGCAGGTGTATATAGTTGTTTCAGGTTCCTTTCTCTATATATCACAATTGATCTTGTCAGGTGTGAAATGCAAATGGCTCAAAGATGCTCTCTTCCTTCTCTGGGAATAATCTCTCATATTTTACTATGTCTTTTCATGATAGAAAACCAGGGGCTGAGGAAACTCAGAGGCACTTTATAATTTAGGTTGCCCCAAATGGTTACTTCTAGAAACCTGGCTTGTTCCTTGATCTGCAGGACTGTAGAGTGTCTTTCAGGCTGAGACCCCCGAAGGTGTCAATTTCATGTGCTTCCTAGGGCAGGTTACCCAATCCATCGCCTTGCTCGTGAGACATGATTCCGAAAATCCATTGTAGGGCTCTGCAGACTGCCTCAGACTTCATCAGGAACACATCTGAGTCAACTGTGGGATGACTCAAGGCTTTGAAATATTTAAACCATATGTCTCATGACACCAGATGAAAATGATGCCAGTTTCCCTACTGATAGGTTGTCATCTGAGACTGAAGCTCAGCTTGGCAGCGATCCTGTATCCCAGCCTTACTGGGTCATGCTGCTGTGTTGGTGAACCTGTTAGTACTCCTGGGACACAAGGCTTGGAATAGGGTCACATGTGGGCAGAGATACTGTGGGCCCCACAGAAGATAGCCAGGGAAATTTGCTGGTTATTTCTAGGTTAGGATATAATGTATCCCCTAAATGGGACTGAACTTGGAAGTCAAAGTGAAAAAGAATATAGGTACTTCTCTGAACGAGGTAGGGAAACACCATTACTATTACCAAATAATGCTCATTAGGAGTCTTGTTTGCTGAAGATTAGCTAAGATCCCTGGGCATTCTTTGAGTGAGAGGAAGAATCATCACTCTAAGAATATTGTCTGTCTTATTTTTTTTAAATGTCTCAAAGACTGTTTCCTTCTTTCTGAAAAGTATCCAGCAGAATACTTGACATGAAAAAAATGCTTGCTAACAGCTTAGTGTGGTAGAAAACACCAACTATAAAGTCAGAGGTGCTAGATTCCAATAACAGTTCTACCCCTTGCAAGTAGTGTAATTGATATTGGGCACATTGCTTCCCTCCTCCCTGTGTTGGGGGTGTTAATACCTATCTTATGGGGAATGTTTTAAGGACTACATACAGTGATGCATACATAGCACATAGGGCATTATAAAACCTGTTAGGTGACTATTAATTCAAAGAAGGTCATGGATATCTTGTTAATGAACATAGATCTAGTAGCAAAGAAGGGTCCCCATCTAGAGTTAATCCTGGAACAAGTAAAAATTTGAATAAACATAGAAGGTATGGCCAGAGACTCATTCTTTTTGCTTCCTGTTGATCTGTGCTACAACTGGGAAAATTAGGGAAGAGGGAAAGAGAAGGCTCAGAAAGCTGGAAAGATTTTCTCAGGTCTTTAATTGTGCAATTCTCCAACCTTTCCTTTTCATCACTCTCCAAAGGATGTTGTGGTGGCCATGGGGGTCCCTGAGCTGCTGTTACAGCCTCCCTCAGAAGTAGCTGCCTGAGTTGTGATCCAAGGCCCCTGAATGCCTGTAATTCTGTCCTATCTACAGAGGCCAAGGATGGAAGTCACTGCTTACACCAACCTGCTCCTGTACCTTTCAGGAAAATGCAGGTGGTGCTGGCTAAGAAGAGCACAGATAATCCAAAATGGCAGGTCATCCAACCTTCCCTACCATGTCCATTCACAGTGGTTTTAATCTTCCTTTTAAAGAGCTGCCTACAAGAGCAATACAGAGGAATTTACAGGTAACTACTCTTTCTGTGCTGGAAGGTATAAGTGAGCAATGACACAGCCTCTGAGGGAGGGAACAGGAGGTGCCTGTAGGCTGGAGCCCAGAGCCCTGAACAAATGCAGCCCTGGTTGAATTTTTCACATGAGGTTGGTTTGTATGGCCAATTAAATGGGAGGAGGGTAGAACAAAAGTCTGAGAAGATCTGGGGGACTGAGCTCAGAGGTTTGGTTTGCCAGTCTGAGAAAGGGAGAAGGGCAATGGCTCAGTTCATGAAGGAATCTGCTTCCTCTGAGTCCCAGTCAAGAGCTGATTACTGTTTCAAGGAGTTGGCCTACTTCAACTCTTGGTAGGTGTAGGAGTTGGGGCACTTATCATTGGAGAAGGGATGGTTCTTCGCTGATAATTTCTGCCCCTCACTCTTCTTCTTTAAGCATATGCACTCCCACATTCCTTTTTACCCTCTCCCCGATGCCTGTCAACCAGCCTTTTGTCAGAGGCCTACCTTGGGTTTGAAGGCAATGAGCTTCAGGATCATCTCCACAGTGAAGAGGCCAGTGAAGAGCATGTTGAGGATGTTCATGGCGATTTTGAACAGGCAGCTCTGGCCATAGTGCTGAGTGAAGGAAGACGAAAGGAACTATGAGCACGAGGCAAGGATCCATGGCCTCCTCACTACCTTTGCCCAGACTTCCTGGAAACCCTCATCTCATCAGAGATCTTCCTTGAAGTAACCCCCAGAAGGCCATCCACCTTTCCTTGGGCAGCCATGTGAACTCAGGAGAGCCTATAAATTCTTCTCTTCTCTACCATCTCTGAAAATAAGGGTTGACAGAGTTCTTTGTTCATTCTGATTGGATGTGATAACTTTGTGGGGGCTTCTGGCACTCAAGAGCCCTGGTACAAGCTGACCTCCTTGCAGACAAGTGCACACCCATGCCTTCCTGATACCAATGACTGCTTCAAGCTCACTCTTTTGGTTCTTCATTTCCTTTACCCTCTTCATTTTATAAACCTAGGACCCCATGGATTATTTCATAAGGTCCCTGAGGGGAACTTTTTCTTGGGAAAGGACACTTTTCTATTTCCAGATGGGAGAAGAGAAGAGCTCTTTTGCTCTTTCTGCTTCCCTTGGACACCAGGAAGGTGAGCAATGAGAAGGTCTGCAGCTCTTTGACATCCTCTCATACCATTCTCCCTGGGCAGGACCAGGTTCCCCTTTGGACTGACCTGCATGGCCAAGCAGATGGTGTTGAGCAGGATGAGGACGAACATCAGGTACTCAAAGTAGGTGGAGTTGACCACGTACCACACTTTGTATTGGTGCTGGTTCTTGGGGATGTACCTCCGCAGGGGCCGGGCCTTGAGGGCGTATTCCACACACTGTCGCTGGGAGGGGGCACAGGAAGGAGTGGGATGGGAGTAGGGAGAGAGTAGAGTTAGTTACCTGGATGATGTGAAGTTGAGGGCAGAGAGGGTGGGATGTACATGAAACTACATGTGCTGGGGCTGGAGTGGGGGTTCTCTGGAAGTCAGGGAAATAATCTATTACTCTAGCTCACGTACAGATTTCAGATGTAATTTGGGGAATGTTTTGATTTTCTGTCACTTCCCTAATCAACGAGAGAGTCCCTTCTTGTCAAATCTATTGAGATTACAAGCAAGGAGCATGCGTGTCCTTGATTTTCAACCTGGTAATGGCTGGTATACTGCTTAGCAGGTGGCTGGCACCTGATAAACACTGATTGACTCATTCTTTGGTCTTCTTAATTATTTCCCACACCACAGGGTCTCCTTGGGGAGGTTCTGACTTCCATTTTTCTTTCCTATCCTCGATCCATCTTCCTTATTTTTTAATATCCAAGGATCAGAAGACATAGTTCACTGAAGGAGAAGAGATTCTGGCCTACCTAGATTCTTGGGATTCCAGTAAAGATCAGTGCACTCCTCTAACAGATTCCCAAACCAGGAACCAGGAAGTCACTCCAACCTCTTTAACCCTCAGCTGCCATGTCCAGTCCCTCCACCTTATGACTTTACCTCCTCCTACTCTTCCCATCGCTGCTATCATTAACCTAATTCCAAGTCAGGCTCTAAGCATCTCTTATCTACATTTTATAATTGGCCTCCCTCTTTCCTGTCCTCCTTTCAATCTGAAGTCCACATAGCCACCAGAATGATGAGTTTAAGCCTACGTAGTAGACATCAAAACCTATGAGGGGTCTAGCTCTCCTAATCTGGGTAGAGCTGATCACACTGTGCTTGCAAGGCTCCTTCCTATAAGCAAAGATAGGGATGTATTTCACACTTCTGTTCCCACTGAGAACAATGGGGAACTGACCTGGTGGATTTACCTACTTCCTACCTTAACAGCCTCATTACTCACCAACAGAGCTGCCAGCTCTTTCTCACCGGCTAACAGAACACGTCTCAGTACTTGGCATCACTGTCTCACTCCCACGTAAGCCTATTTCCTGTCCCCACCTCCTGCATAGCCCTCTGTGTTTCGCTTAAGAAACCGTATAAGAGTGGTTTCCTAAAACTGTTCTCTTGCCCACCTCAAGAGCTCTCACTCCTTCACTGTTTTAGTTTCTCTCTTTTCTTATCATTGGGGCCAACCCACTTGGGTACATTCTAACTTTTCAGGGTATAAGACATTTTCCCCCCACAGAGCTTACCATACATTTGTTGGCTGCATAAATCTGTTATATTATATCTGAGTTGGGCGGGGATTTGCATTCCCTTTGCATAGACCCCCTCAAGATGGAAAGCGCTGTTCTTGTTGGCTGAATACTTTTTCCAGATCTGGAATTTGCAGGGATCTGCATTTCTTTTGCAAGAACCCTGTTTGGCTTCAGGAGAGGATGGAGGACGTTGGTATCCACATAGATCTATTCCTGAACTCTGGTTACCAATACTGCCATTCCTCACATGCTGCCCTCCTTGCCTTCCTCCTTTCCTTCCTAGAAAGCTACCTGGTTTTTGTCCAGCTCACAGTTCTTGTACTCTTGCTCTCCCTGCTCCTGGAAGGTGACGATGACGAAACCCACGAAGATGTTCATCATGAAGAAGGCAATGATGATGATGTAGATGATGAAAAAGATGGAGATCTCCACGCGGTAGTTGTAGATGGGGCCCTTGTCTTCCGTGTGGGAGTCGATGGAGCGGTACAGCAGCCTGCAGGAGGAGACAGGCCCCACAGAGGGAACTGGAGAAGCAGTGTCACCTCTGTGGAATGATGGAACCAGGACTCCTAGAAATCCCTGGGATCAAGGGAAATGGCTCTGGGCTGGGAACCAGAGGGTCTGGATTCAAGTCTCAGTTCTGCCACTTCCTGGCCATGTGGCCTTGAGTAAATCACTTAATCTCTTGAGACTCAGATTCTTCATCTGTAAAATGGAGACAATAATTCCCAACTTTCCTAACTTGTGGGGCAATTGACATAATGTACATGAAGGTGTTTTGAAACTGTCAAGAACTATTTAAATGTAACATGATCCATGGACATTGATTTCAAATTCAGAAATATTGGTAAATATTGAAACAGCTTTGCAAACTGGCATGGACTCAAAGGAGGTTAAAGTGAACATAAAATAAATCGGAGAGAAAATAATCCATTTAGAAAAAAATACTAACACGACCCATGCTTCAGATCATCCAGAATGGTTTGATTTTATACTTAAGTGGTTTACACCTGTACACCATTCATTTGGACCTGGGCTACATGCCCCATTAAGCTTGCTACTCTTCGTGGACAGGGATTATCTCCTTCCCTTCCTTTGTAACCCTGTGAGTACTTAGCTCTTCCCTAGGTCTCGCCTACATTTTGCCATATAATAATGGTGACTTTCATCTAAGACCCATGCACCACAGGGTGGGGGTTGCAGGCATCTAGACAAAGATACATGGAGCACCTGACAGATAAGCTGCCTGCCACAGGTGATGCAGAATAAAAGGCCAGCAGGTTGGTCTACATGTGAAAGAACTGCCTCTGTAGAGGAACAAGGGCACAGGCTTTCATCTCTTTCTTACTTTCCACTGTAAATGTCAACAAGACTTTTTCTAAAGGAGACAGGGGTAAAGCCTAACAAAACAGAGACATCTCAGCTACATTTACCCACACTGGGAGTAGTAATGTGGAACTCCTTGGTGATCAAACTCCCCCCACACCTCATTCCCAGATGACATGAGGGTAATGACAGAGACTCCTGACCTTGTGGTTCATGCTGAGGTTGGGAAAGGGGGCTATAAAAGCACTCATTTTGGGTTAGAGTTTCTAAAATTTTGACTTCTCGTCTGGGGCTGTAGCTCACTGGTAGCGTGCTTACTGAGCACGTACAAGGTCCTGGGATTGACCCCCAGAACCATGAAATAAAGAAATTAAAATATTGATATTTTCTAGAAGAGCCTATGTTTCAGCAGTGACTATGGCCTACAGATTATTCTAGAAACATACCCTTATTTCAGGGGGAGGACACAAGTGTGATCTCTGGGAAGGAATGAAGGACATTAACGAAACTTGGGCAATGGGTGGATAGCCAGTGTTTGGGGCCTCCAGTATCAGGGCGGATGGACCTTGGTTTGCGTACTCACTCTGGCCACCCCTCAAAGGTTGAGACAGTGAAGAGAGCCATCATGGCTGCCAGAACATTGTCGAAGTCAAACTTGCTGTTCTCCCAGCTGCGGGGCTGGATGATGGGGTGGTCAACCTCTCCATCTTTGTATGTGATATAGTTACCCCTGAGAGAAGAGGAGAAAAGGTAATTCTGGCTTCTCCATCTCCCTTCACATTTCAAACTTGACCTGTTTCCAAATAACTCCTGGCATGCTGGGTGGGATGGAACTATCTAGAATGAAACCACACAGTTCCAACTATTGGGAAGAACTTCAGTGGGTAGAACTTTCAGGAATAGATAGATTATTTGTCACATCAGAATCAGATTACATGTGGATAATAGCCCTGCTGTCCCTCCTCTGAGACCAAGTCCCCAATCTCCTTGAGTTAGGCCTGGGCACCCAATGCTCCAGCCTATACTTACTTGCATTCTGCCTCAGTCTGTTTGGAACTATCTGAGCAGGTATAGAGCTTTCCCTAAAAGGCAAAAGGACAAAGTGATTAGAGATGTTCCTTAATCAATGAATCCATCACAAAACGGTTAATGAGCGTCTCTGAAGCCTAGCGCTGAGCTAGGGGCTGTGGGATAAAAAGTGCAAGGTGAACAGAATCCAGATGGGGCAACGTGACTCACATACACACAGCAGCCAGAGAATAAAGACACTCACTGCTGCAAGTACCAATGGAATTCAAAAACAGGGAGCTCCAATCCAAGAAAGCTGAACTCTCTAGGAAGGTCTTGAGAGGAAGGAAGAAGTGGAGCTGGGGTGGGAAGAGGGAGTAAGATGGGAGGAAATCAGTGAAGTATATGTGGCAGGTAGGGGAGGGCAGGGGAAGAATGTTGTGTGTGAGGAAATAGAGATGAAAAAGAGATGAAGGCAGAAAAGACAAGAAACCGTGGAGGACCCTGGCCTCGAGCTGGGGGAAGGATGGATGTGATGCTACTGACAGTAAGTAATTGCTGTAGGGTCTCATGCAAGTGACACTCTCTTCCAGACAGTGAAAGTCCCCCTCCTGCTCTGGCTGGAAAGAAGGGCAGTGAACTAAAGGGTCGGCAAAGCTGAGCGGGCAGGAGGCCTTTAGTCTGGTGGAGCCTCCTTCTGGTTCCTCTCTCCTCTGGTCTGGGAAGCTTGAGTGGGGCTGTGGTTGGAGATCACATTCACCCCCATGTGACTGGGGCTGCTGTCCTCCTCCTGTTGTATCCACCAGTTCCCCTTCTTGGGAATGCTGATGGGGAGGGAGGGATGGTGGACAGATCAGAACCAAGACCTTACCTTGAAGAGCTGGACCCCGATGCAGGCAAACATGAACTGCAGCAGTGTGGTGACAATGACAATGTTCCCAATGGTCCGGATGGCGACAAACACACACTGGACCACATGCTATGGTGGGAAGAAGGAAGAGGTAAGGGAACACGGTTTCAGGAAATTCCTGCAGCCTGAGCTTCCTTCAGTCAAGCCATGAGCCCTCCTGGGAGGTAGCAGAAGCTGCCCCTCAGCCGCAAGTGGGAGAAAGCAGGCTCAAAGAGGTAAAGCAGCCTTCCCAGTGTCACAGGGTGAGTGATGGAATCCAAAGGAACACAAAGTCCCCCTTGGGGGTTCCTTTTCCAGGGAATCCCTACAGGGGCACAAGCCCTGTGAACTCTTGTTGGATAGTGGTAGGCGTACAGGGACCTCATCACCACCCAGAGATTCTGGGTTTGTGTTCCCCTTTGCAAAATTTTACATAGGAACTCAGGTTTTAAAATGGTTTCCTGTAACCATTCCACTCCTCATGGAAACAGGATTTGAGTAGGACCAGTGTATAGGCACCAACATGGCAGACTCTTGGCTTGATCACTCTCTCCTCCCTCAAGCCCAACCATCACCTCAGCTGACAGTCTACCAACTAGCAGACCCATCAATGTTTCTTAGGTTGAAGGCTTCCCACCCAGGTCCATCATCTCACCTTTAGCCCCTTGGCCCTGTTGATGGCCCTCAGGGGCCTAAGTACTCGCAGGACTCGCAAGATCTTCACAACATTGATTGCACTAGACCTGGAAGGAAAAAAGGGCAGGTGGTAAGTTTCCCCTGCTTCTGAAATGACGAGGGGAGGTGATGTCCTGACAGGCTGATCCCAGGCAAACTTGACATATGGAGTCTGTCTGGGGTACTTTTTACTTCTAATTTTTACCTCTAAGAACCTGGGGCTTGCTATAACTTTGTGATTTTCCTGTTGATGAGAGAATAGAGAAACTAGGTTTGGGGATATAGTCCTGGGTTTCATCCCTAGCATGGCGACAACCACAGAAAGCATTTGACATCAATCGTTAGCAATATAATGTGCTACACAGGGGGACATCCTGTGCACTAGTGCTGCCCATTGCGAGCCAAGTCACCTGAAGTCACATTTCCTAACTTTGTTGAGACCTAGTTTCTCATCTGAAAAATGGGGCAGCGATTAGCTCATAAGGATGCTGCAGGGATTAAATGAGAATTTTATGTGCATTATCCAGCAATGTGCTTGGCACTTATGATCCAAATAAATGGTGGCTTTTATTACTATGCCTGCTGAAGACATTACTGTACATAAAGAAAGACAATAATGCTGGAACTTCATGCCTTCTGGTTAGAGGTGATGGGGGTGGAGAGGGATTTTTGAGTGTAGATCTCTAAACACAGAACCCAGGTAGTCAAAAACCCAATATATATATCCTTTTCTGGTTCCTAGCATGACTCCAAGAAAGAATGGCTTCCACATGTCTGGGATGCCAAGGCCAAGTTAAAGATTCCAGGAGCATTAGGCTGCTGCCATGATCTGGTGGGAAGGAGGAAGGGGGGGCAGCCCCCCTCCCCCCCCACAGACCCGTGGCAAGATGCCTGGATGGTTTTCAGTTGTCCATCCAATCCAGGGAGAGGTTATGAACAACACCAGTTGCTGAGCAACTCTGAAGGATGTCCCAACCCTCCCTTACTAACTCTGTGATTGAGATATTTTCTTGAGCATTAGGAGAGGAGGCCTCACAATCTGCCTTGGACACTAAAAAGCATATGACACATTGGTAAGTGCCAGTTTTATTCTTCATAGTTCAGAATGATGTGCACACAATCTATAGAAAGATCCAATTTCTCTGGTTCATGGGCCTTTTATTCCCAAAGATTCAAAGGGCATTCCTATCTATCACTGCATCTTTTCCCCCAGTGTCTCTGAGAGGGAGTCAGTTTGTATTGAATCACAATGGAAAGGATTTAAAGGTCAGATAGGGAAAAAACAGACTGAAAAGAGAAATTCTTAGTTCAAGGTGAAATTGATTTAATGGTAGTATTGGGGTTAGAATCTAGATCTGTAAACTCCCAGGCAGAAAATTTTGAGAAATATAATTGATATCCATAGAGCAGAGTCTCACTTCCATGGCCCCCATCTCATCCTAGAGGCTGACCATTAAACAACCTTGGGATGGGAGACTCAGGACCTCTGAGACTTACACCTATTTCTGCCATTGGCATGACCTTTAGCAAGTCTCCTGATGTCCTGAAGGTCATATTTCCTATTCTATGAGCTGATAATTGCACCTTGCACTGCCTACTTCATAGAATTTTTTTTTTTTTGAGAGGATCATGGAAAAATGTGTATGTGAAAGTGCTTTGAAAGTTCCAGTGCAGAATCGACATGCTCAGCCTTAGAATGTGGTAGAAACCAGTAATCAGATTCTTTCAGACCTAAGAAAGGTTTGAAAGCTAGACAGTACAGGGAAATCACCTGGAGAGCTTTCATAACTGTAGCACCAGACTGTACCCCAATCCAAAAAAATAAAAAATAAAAAATTCTGAGGGTGGGATCCAGGCAAATGTCATTATTTTAAGTTTCCCAGGTGATTCCTTTGTGCAGTCAAGATTGAGAATAAGTAATTTATCTCTCTCTGTCTCTTTTCACCATACACACAACAGGTGTTTTGACTAAAAAGAGAAGTAAGAGAAAGGGAGAGGAGGGATGGCTCAGAAGGTCAGGGGCAGGTCAGGGCAAAGGCAGGACCTTGGCAGCTGAAGAGCACATGGTAGAGGAGGTAAGAAGGTACTGGGGACACCTGTTTCTTTATAATGGAGCCTGGCACTTTTTCCTGTGGCAAAATCTAGACATTTAAATGTATTTCTGAGGATCACATACCCTCATGTATCACACCATTGAGGATATGGACACAAGAAACGAAAGCCACTATGTAGTGCAACCTCAGAGGCCCTATGCTATCATAGTCCCATTGTGGTGGCCCTGCAGGAAGGCTCTCTAGAGCTTGGTGTCTTCTCTGACACCCATTCCTAGCTGATGACCTCATCTTGGGCTAAGGGAGCCCTACTCACTGAATGCCAAAGGAGATGAGGGACACGCTGACCACCAGCAGGTCTAAGATGTTGAAGTAGTTCCGGCAGAAAGAGCCCTTGTGTAGGAAAGCCCCGTAAGCAGTCATCTGCAGGAAGGGACAGAGAAACAGGGTGTAAGTGACCCCAGCCCAAGTTCCACAAACCACCCACAGGCTCATCACCCTTTCCTCCCACAGCGTCCCTTGGGCAGGTCCCAAGCACTGCCCAAGGGGAACAGGAAGGACTGAGGAAGGAGATTTGGTGGCCAGAAAAGGTTCTTCAAACATTCACTCAACCACCAAAGAATTCCCCAGCTCAGGATGTATAAGGGCTCCTACTCCTACCCAACAGCAGGCTCTTCATGATTGTGCTCAAAGCCCTTTCAAATGGCCCACCACCCCTCTCTGATTTTTCTCTTCCTCATCACAAGTCTATGATGGCTCCAGTATGTTAGGGCCCTTGACTAATGTTCTTTAGGCCAGTTTACCCTGTATGCACATTTTCCACCCTCTGAACTTCACAGCCAACTGAAACACTCGTTATCTGGGAGATGGAGAGAGCATGTCCAGAAGGGCGACCAACTGTCCTGGTTTGCCTGGGACTTGCTCATATCACTAAAACGTCCTGCATCCTATACAAACTGGGATGGTTGGTCACCCTGGTGTCCAGAGAAAAGTTCTACCAATAACTGTGGCAATTAGCATCCCTCTCCTCTTTGGCTTTCAATAGTGCTTGGGATCTATGTCAAATGTTCTAAGCTCAATTTGACTGTTTCCCTTCTAGACAGAATCTGGAGCTCTTTAAGGAAGGGCATGAACCATGTGTTTAGAGAGGGTAATGTGAGACAAAGGTGAGGAATGCAAGTTCTGGAGCCAGACCACCTGATCTGAATCCCAACCCTCCTGAATTTTATTTGTGTGGCCCTGAACAAGGTTCTTAACTTCTCTGTGCCTTATTTTCCTCATCTAAAAATGAGGATGATGATAATATCTACTCCACTGGGATGTTAACATCAACTGAGTAAATATATAAAAGATACTCGGGACACTCTTCTGCAGATACTATGCTCCGTATGTGTCACCTGTCACTGTGTCTTGGATTTGAATTCTGGATTCTTCCTGTATAAAGGAAGTTGAGTTTCCTCATCTATAAAGTGGGGATATGATTCCCTTGTCTTTGTGAGGTTCCTACAGGAAAACAAGGCAGGACTTTGAAAAAAGAGAACACATGAGATAATGATTATCGTTGCAGGATCTGGCTATGATTACCTCCCTCAGAGCTAGAAGAAAGCTGTTCACTGTAGGTGCTCAACCAATAGCTTTTACCATTTTGTGACATGAATGAATGGCCTGTGGATATCCGGGATAAGGGCTGTGAAAGGCCATGGGCCATGAAGCATCAGCTAAAGGGAAAAATTTGGAGCTGATGGCCATGAGGCTGAGAACAGCTCCCCGGTCATCTGGGGTCCAGTTTATCTCTTTGGAATCAGAGCATGCCCAGGGTGGTGTGTCTGCAGAGCAATTCAAAAGCAAACACAGGGGGAAATTGGCAAAAATAGCTCTTGCAACCTAATTCTTTCTATTTATCTCCCGAAGCAGGGGATCACAGGGGATTCAGGCACCTGTGTTCTGCAATAGTTTTTAGAAGTGGGGAGGTTACATAAAAGGTTGCAGGGAAATATAGTTGCCCATCTCTCCTGAAGGCCTGCCATCTGGAAGGCACACTTTCTTTGTCTTGGTGATGACCTGGGACCCCAGAGATTGGGCTCAGGTGACTCTTGTGGTTCATGCTCACCAAAGAGCCCCCTGTGCCTGCAGAAGGCTGAGCACCTTCCCCAGCAACCTCACTTTTAGGCTTAGGTGTTGTGTCTGGTCCCTTCTTGTTCTGGTTCTTGTAGAGCCCTCTGTATATGGGAAAAAGCATTCCTTAGATAGGTAGGCAGTAGGGATCAGAGTGCCACCTTCTGTCCTTTGCTTCTGCTTGGTCAGAGGACCCTTAGAAGGAGACCAGCCGTTTGGAAAGTGTGCATGTGCATGTGGGTTGGGAGCCAGAAGGAGAGTGGCTGTGGGATAAAAGACAAGTGGGTGCTAGAGAAAGGGGACATTTATCTGAAAGCCATGTGTGGCATTCAGAGCACCAGAAAAAGCCAGGTTCAGGGAACTCAGTGCAAGCTGTCTTTCTACCCTCCTTTACTGATTGCCCCCTCCTAGTCCCTTACTTCTAAAAGTTCTAAGTCATTAACCAGGAAAGGTCTATTGCCACTCTGAGGAGGGAAAAGGGACAGGCTGTAAAGTCACTAACTCTGAGCTGGAAGGGCAGCAATTCCCTCCTCAGTCACAGGCAATAGTCTAGGCAGCCCTTCTGACCACATGTATCTCCACTCTTCTCATTTCCATGCTTTGGTTCTGATTCTACTTTTTCTTCTCTGTGTCAGTCCTTTGCATTATTAAGGTGGATGGTCCGACATGTGCTTTCTTTTCAAGGCCAAATCACCCTAGATCCTCCCATAGTTCCTTAGGGTAAATGAGTCTAGTGGATGGCCATCATAGCCTTCGGGTTGGTGCAATGCTGGACCTTCAGGCTGGGCAGAGGGACCCAGTGAAAGGGAAGTGCAGGAAGTGCACTGGTCATGGGGTAAATACTCAGAAGCAGTGAGCGTAAGAGAGACCAGAAGAGGAAGAGAGAGGAAGGGGAGAGAAGGGCCTTGCCATGACAATGCTTGCAGAGAGACTTTCACTTCCGCTTGTATGGCAACCTTGAAGGAGCGATGGCACCATTGAAATCCACGAGGGAGCTCTGTGGCGGGGGCTGGGGGGCATCCATGAGAATGGGGGCCTTGGGGTTTTTCTTGTCCTGGGAAAGAACTTTGTGTGTCTGTGTGCCTCTTTGTGTCTGAAGTCCAGGAAAAAAGCACCTCTCCATGGAAAAGTGGCTCCCAGCAGTCTCAGTGCTGCCCTGTGACTCCTGATTCCCACTCCCTGACTCCAGGAACTGAAGCCTGGCCAGATCTACTCTCCCAGAGCACGAAAAGAAAATTCTGAGCAACACTTTGGGTGAGCAACAGAAGTGGCAAAACTGCGCCACTGGGGACAAGGGCATCATGGCTGGCACTCAGAAACCACCCCACTTGAATGGTATCACGGTGTGATGAAATGTCATGCTTCTCAAAGGGTTTTGCCAGGATGGAATTTTATTAGAAAAAGAAGGGTCTGCAGCCGTCAGAGGCACAATGCTGGGGTGGACACCAGTTGGGTCAGCTGCAATGATGGATGGGAAGGGGGCCTGAGCTCCTTGGGAGCGGGCACCCCAGGTGAATGTCCCAGAGAAAAGATGCTTTAGCTGAAGCTCAGAGTCTATAGCCCTTTTGTTTAGGGTGAGGGTAAAACTGACCCCTTGCTCAGAGAGCAGCACACCTTACCCAAGGTCTCAGAACTCACATCCTGCATCCCAGGTGGACTGGCTTAAGGCATTGGTTTAAAGGCTCAGAAGTATACTGGGAAAACTTAGAAACCACCTTGCGCATCACAGTGCTGTTCAGACATGGGCGCTATATGTTTTTGGGATAACCATGTTGGAGCAACTCTACAGATCTGAGCTGGCAACAGCAGGCAGGGATGGGGCCTGGGTGCTCAAGCTCCTTCCAACATTGGTTCTCTCCCTACCCTGGGCTTGGGGCAAGGACATTGTAACAAAAACTTTTCAGTGAGTCACTGGAGGGTCAGAAGTGATCTACAGCTGTCTGCTGAAAGGCCTTGGCTGGGAGATTGGCTCCAAATCTTGATTATTCTACGTGGCCCCACTCCAGCTTGGCCCTGATGTCTGCTGTAAGTACTGAGGAAGTTCTTGATGACAGACATCCACGGAGAGCAGCCAGAGTGACTCCTTCATGCCCCAGAGCTTTTCCGCTTGTGGAGTTTGTGTTGGCATCTCTGCTAGGCAGGAGGAAGATGGGAGAATTCTAAGCAGATCTCAGATACCAACTGATTGGAGATGGCACATATGAGCATGTGTAGGGGCACTGCTGATGGCCACAGTGCCAACCAGTGAGGGGACCGTATCGGTGGTGACACAGCCAAAACTGCTTACTGGTGGTCAGAGAGAGGGAGCCTGGCCATGATGGGTGGATGGGGGACTTCTGGTTTCCGAACCTGGGTAAAGTGCATGGCACAAAGTGAGGGGCACTGATTCTTCACTGCAGGCATGAGAGTCAAAAGGGAGAGTGAAGGAAATAGAAAAAAGAAAAGAGTCAGCCAGAGCAGATACAGACAAGGAAAGAGATGGACAGAGTGCATTGCTCAGGGTGCATTACCTTAAGGATAATTTCTAATGTAAAGATACTAGTGAAGACATAGTCTGCATTGCCTAGGATCTGAAAAATAAGCATAATTGGATTAGTGGCTCCGAGAGTGAACCCAACACCAACAGGAGCATGTGTGTTAGCGACAGACAGCAGCAGAGAACAAAGATAGGCGCAAGGGAGGGAGGAAGAGGAGGAGAGAGGGCCGCGGGCCTTTACCTTCAGAGCGATTTCAATGGTGAAAATGGTAGTAAAAACAATATCAAAATAAAACAGAATCTGTAAAACAAAAAGAAACAAGGAGGGATGGGGAGGGGGTGGGAGAAAAGCAGGATGGGAGGCCAGGTCAGTGGATGTTCACCAGAAAAAGAACCGCACTTCAAAAGGAGGTGCACACATTGAACCTTTTTACACAGGGACAGATGGAAAGACTTGGGGAACGAGTGGCACATAGTTAACACTGGATCTCAACGTGGGGCTGGCATAGGTAGCTCAGGGTGGAGACCCCAGACAGGTGAGGGGAGCTTCAGGGAAAGGCCTCAGCTGGTTTAGGCAGCATCTGGCTGAACGTTTTTCTCATTAACCCAACTTATTTACAAACCCAAATCCAACCAATGGGATGTTTATCAAAAAAGCAGAGAATTTTTTTAAGGGGAATTTAAATGCTTAACTCTCTTTGGTGTGACTGAACCCGTGAGCTTCCTACATTAGTGGAAATCTATATGAGTATCAACCCTTTGGGGTATGGGAGGGCATCTCCCAGGTCTACCCAAGGACAGGCTATAGGGTGTCATGCTTTATTACATCTCAAGGGATAGATCAGAGGTAGGGTCAATACCAGTCAACCACAGGAAGAGCCTGGACCAAGTGGGCTCCAGGACCTCTGAGTGTTTTAACATATGTATGGCTTCAGATCATGGGCTCTTTTCTTCATGCCCATCTGGTTGGTGTTCACCAGAGCCTTGGGTGGGTCTTCATATTTAGATCAGCTCTGCAGAAGATCATGGAGGTTCTCTACTACATTGGCACTTATGGGCACCTATCTACCAACACTTCTCAGGATATACTGAGAGCAGGGTAGGAAGTCAGTGGCCACATTTTACTAAGTTTACAGGTTATTAGAGTTTCCTGGGGAACATCCACAGGCAATCAAAGGCCTGACCTTTGCCAATTATCAAACCAACCTGAGACATTGGGCACATGCTCTTTTACTTGCTTGTGGTCCCAAGATGGGTTTTTCTCAAAGCCCTAATCTCTTAAAGAACTGTTTGTTGTGCATCTGATTATGAGGTTTAGAACTGAGCTCCTGATTAACAATGAAGTCAGCAACAGAAGCTGTGGGCCCAGTCACACTCCCAGAGGAAGGGGTGCAGAGAACAAAAGGGAGTACATACATGGTTCCTGAAGGAGGTGTGCTGGACGGGGTCCTCAGCAGCCAGGGAAATGCTGCTGAGCAGAATGAAGAAGAGGATCAGATTGGTGAAGATCGTGTCATTGACAATGCGGTGACACTGAAGGCGAAACCTGAGTGCGAAGGAGGAAAGGAGAGAGATGTGTCAGGAAAGATGTAGACACAACTCCTTGGGTTTCAGGAGCAGCTCCCCTCAATTCCTTCCACCAGCTTACAAAAGGTGCTTATTGATTTGTGGAGTGGTCTTCAGCCTGAAGTCTTACTGTTGCTGGGTAATGACAAGCCCCCATGATGTATATCTCTAAACAATTTAGTTCTGAGGCACCTTCACAGGCAGAAACCCTTGACATTTTAGAGGGTTACATATGAGATATTCGGGAATTTCTGGATTTTCAAATATTGCTGTGACATTAACAACTGGCCTTTGCTTGAGAGTTGTTTTCCTCATCATTTGGAAAAAAAAATCACTTTATAAGATCTATGTCATATTTTTATGCACAGGGAATAATATAGCTATCTGGCTAGGGGATTTGCCCTGTGTAATAGCTTCAAGTGTGCAACTTGATTCCACATCTCAGCACAATTACAAAGAACTACCCATTGGGACCTCTGGACATTCATGGATAGTACCATGTATACCTAGAGTGTGTTGCACACTATCTCATCTTAACAATAGCACAGAATCACCTTCATTTCACAGATAACAATACTGAAACCCAGGAAAGAGAGGCTTGCCCTCAAACATAGCCTATACTGTTGGGGAGTCAGGGCTTGGTCCCAGGCCTTCAGACTTCTACTGATGCCATAATGGTTGACTCAATCCTCTAAGAGACTCACCTGCTGTAGAAGAACCAAGACCTGGGAAGGACAAATTCTGAGACAATGCTGGTTTCATGAGACTTAGGAGCGGTCTACAAGGATCATTTCATTCAAATCAGCAAGCTAACAACCCACCAGTCAACCAACCAAATAATCAACCAGTCAGTTGGCCAACAATCAACCAACTAACCAACTGATCAACCCACCCACTGAGCTGAGGTTTGCGCATGGGCAGCATGGAAGGGCAGAACTGCCTAAGGGGAGATGCCCATAACAGCATTGCTGCCAGGAAACTGAATTTCAAGGCAGTCTTGAGGTGAGCCTGGAACTTTGAGGCTGAGCCCTCAAGGGACACTGGAAGAAAGCAAGCTTCCCCAATCCCAATTTATATATACTTTAGGATTCTCACCAATGAAAAGATCATGGAACACACAAAAAGACAAAACTACCATTAGGGAAACTAGAAATAACAATAAATAACTGATTTGGACTCCAAAAGACCAGGCATTGTGCATATCAGTATAAAATGCAGAATAACTATATTTGAAATACTTAATGGAATAAAAGACTCAATCACAAATGTGATGAATCAACAGAAACTATAAGATATAGACAGATGGATCTAAAAAAAAAAAAACAACAACAACATATGGAACTAACCAGAATGCAAAAATAGTCAATGTAAAAAAAAAATTGATTTAAACAGTAATATAAAATTAAGAAGAGAATTAACAAACAGGAAAATAAATTAGAAGAAATCATCCAGACAACTGAAAGAGAGGCAAGGAGATGAAAGACATGGAAGGCACCTTAAGAGAGAGGGAAGAGAGGGACGGACAGAATGAGAAGGTCTAACCTGTGTCTAATTGGAGTGCAGGGTGAAGGAACAGAGAATTGAGAAGAGGCAAAAGTTAATGATTATGGCTGCCAATTTTTAAGAACTGCAGAAGAACACAAATCCAGAATACAAATACAGAGTGAGGAAGTATAACATATGCTATGCAACACAAGAGAAACCTATGCCTCAACACAAGGTAGTAAAGGGTTAGTTATTTACAAAGGAATAATAACTAGAAAGCCAGCTAACTTCACAGTGGAATAACACTTTGATGGACCAAAACTGTTAGTCCCAAATTATACCCATAGCTAAATTACCTTTTAAGAATAAGAAACGAAAACAATTACAGATGAATACAGGCCAAGTGGACCATAAAGGAACTAAAAAACTTCTATAGAATGTGCTTTAAAAGGAAGAAAATGTTTGCAGAAGAGACTGACATACATAAAAATGGTCAACAAATGAAATGGTAAGTTATATGTAAATCTAAATATACTCTGCCTAAATCATCATCATCATCATCATCATCATCATGTCTAACTTGTTGGGTTCTAAATAAAGTTCAGGACTAAGCAATAATATGTAAATTGGGAGGAAATTAGTGAGTTAAAATACTCTAAACTCCTATTGTACAGAAGGAGGCTTAAGATATTGGTTAGCTTTTCATTTTGTTAAGTTAAATAAACTTAGTAAAGTATCAAAGGTAACCACCCAAAGAATAGTAATAGTTTATACATTTCAAAACCTGGAGAGAGCTCTGCATGGTGGTGCACACCTGTAAGCCTGGAGATTTGGGAGACTGAGGCAGGAGGATAGCAAGTTTGAGGCCAACCTTAGTAATTTAGTGAGACCTTAAGAAACTTAGTGAGATTCTGTCTTGACATAAAATAAAAAAGGGTAGGGATGTAGCTCAGCAGTAAAGCACCCCTGGGTTAAATCCCCAGTACCCAAACAAAAACAAAACCAGAAACAAACAAACACACAAAACCTGGGGAAGAAAAAAATAAAAGCAGGGGCTTGGAGTGTAGCTCAATAATATAGCACGTGGTTAGCATGTACAAGGCTCTGAGTTCAATCTCCAGCACAAGCAAGTAAATAAATAAAATAACATTAGTATAAATAAGCAAATATATGTAAATAAATGCAGATCATCTGATTCAGAGTCCAGGACTCTCTTCCTTGACTCAGAGGCTGTTTACATAAGTTGAGGGAGTTGAGAGAGTCCCAGGTTCCTTGCACAGGTACAGGTAAGACATAGGCATGGGCTGGGTCTGTATCACAGAGGCAGCGGAGTCCACCCTCCTCACCATTCACACACACCTGTTGTTGGGGCTGAAGATGAAAAACGCACTTGCTTCTGGCATGGGTACTGCCTTTTCCTTAAGGTGCAGCTCAGACAGTGGTCGTGGGCGGGGCCCAACAGGCATCTCGGGCTCCTCCTCATCCTCTTCTCCTGTAAGAGAAAAACCACCATTTTAAATAACTACCACTTCCACTGATTCTTACCATTGTGCACCTTTTTCCTGAGACTTTCCTATTGGTAGGAATCAAGACATCATTTGTATCCCTGAACATGTAGAGGATCAATCAAGACAGATATTCTGGGGACTACTGGAGTTTATGTCTGAGAGGGACAGACTTCCCTGGCAGTACTTAATAAGAGGGGTTGTAAGTAGAGTGGAAAACTTGTCCTAGTTTACTTCAACTGCCTGGTTTTAAAACTGAAATTTCCATAGTCCAAGACACCACCCAGTCTTGGGCTAATGGGCATTTTGGTCATCCTGGTTGAAAGGCATTGGAAAGGGGACTAGATAAAACCAGGCATTGCCATTTTGGCTGCCATGAGGAAAGGGAATTGCTTAGTTTGTCAATCCCTTACAAACAACTCCATTCTTGAAAGTTCCAGGAATTTAAAACCAACACTTTCCCATTTATGAAACTCTAACAGAAATCATGTGCTCTAGGGGTACCCAGACAACAATGCTGACTGTAAAGGCCCCTTCATTAGAAGGTTTAGATACTGACTCCAGTCCTTTGTGCTCCTAGCCAGTGGCCTCATTAATGTAGACTGAAGTCAAAAAGCTTGCTCCTTTGCTTGCAGCCCATTGCCCATGGGAAGAACCACTGCATACTGTGAAATGCACTCAGACATGTCCGGCACGGGAGAAGAAACAGCGTGACTTAAGAATACAAGCTCTCCAGCCAAGTGCCTCTTGCACATTGTGACTCTGTTTCTTTCTGTCTATGAATGTTTTATTTAACCTCCTTATGCTTCATTTCTTCATCTAAGTTAGAACAATAACAGCATATAGGCACCTAGAATGGTGTCTGGCACATGGTGACTGCTGTATTTACTTTCATTGCCCTCTCCATCCACAGGACAGAATCTAAGCTTGAGAATTAGTGCTCAACATCTTTCTCAGTCTGATCTGTAACTGCTGCTATGCTCTATCAAATTGTCTACTCCCACCCACTGAGATTGGCTAGTGTACCCCCACATTCATGCCTAACCAGAACCTCCAGAATATGCCCTTATTTAGAAATATGGTCTTTGTGGATGTAATTAGCTACGTTGAAGTCATGTTGGACTAGGGCAGGCCCTAAATCTACTATTGGTTTTCCCTTGTAATAAACATTCAGAGACACAAAGGCACACACAGGGGAAAAGGCCACATGAAGACAGAGCCAGAGATTGGAGTGGTGCATCTACAAGCCCAGGATTGCTGGCAACCACAAGAAGTTGGGAAGAAGGGAGACAGAATTCTTCCACAGAGCCTTCCAGAAGGAGCACGGCCCTGTTGTCACCTTGATGTCAGACTTTAAGCTTTAGAACTCTGAGACCAGTTTAAGTTGCCCTTCATCTCCTTCTCTGCAGAATTAGTAAGGACTCCCACTTCAGACAGTTTCCTTTATCTGGCTCTCCTGAGTACCGGGGCTCTGGGGAACCATCTTCCTCTGTGACACCTTGGACCTCTCACATTTATAAGGCACTGAGAACACAAAGCCTCAGATACCTGGCTTTAAATGGGTCTGTCCCGTCTTTCTATGTGCTGAAAATTCTAGAAGGAAGAACCACACCCTGATTTTGATGATGATTAAACTTCCACAACTTCAAAAGAAAAGGGGCAGGTGGAGACTCATCTGTCATGGGAAGAGCATCTTAGAAACCCAGCCATGCCTTGCATGCTGTCTCTTCTTCTGGTTAAAATGAAGCGGGGGGGGGGGGGGGGGCAGCTCAGTGGTAGAGCACTTGCCTAGCACCTGGGAGGCACTGGGTTCCATCCTCAGCACTTGGTGGGGGGGCGGGAAGCCAGGTAGTGCAGAGACAAAAATTCCTGGCACAAAAGTAATTCTTTATCAAGCAAGAAGCATTTAGGCACCAAGGCTTTTTTGGAGAACCAGCAGAATATATCCATAAATCAGATCCTATCCCTAGGGTCATTAGAGCTGACCAGCAAGGCAATTAATATTTTCAGAGGAGAGCTGCAAGATTAAAAAAATTGTGTGAAAGCAAAGAATTGAAGCTTTCTGATTCCTGAACCTTGCTGTGTAAAAGAAAGTAGAATAAGTAAAACCAGAATTGGTCCAAATCATATTCACAGGTAAAATTTAATAAGGAAAGATTTAAAATTTCTGCCCAGGTGTTTGTATTCTTTTCAGTTTTGCTCTAAATGGGCCAACATTTTTGTATTCATGACAATTTGATAACAGGTCACTTAATGCTTATTTGAATCAAGTATATTTATAGAAAACCATATTTATTAGCGTTGTGCCAATGTAACGTCCTAAGGAATGGTTCTGTACACTCTTGCATCGGCATAGACTGTCTTGCTGCTTAGGAAGCTCTACCCTGACTTCCATTCCTGGGGTAAGCAAGGCAGTTGCTCCATCAGATACACCTGCTGAACTGCAGGCATCATTCTTAGAGGACATGATTTCTGAAGGACAAACTCAAATTTGTAAAAGGACAGAAATTTGACAGCATGCGATGCCAGCAGGTATCATGGATAAAGAGGGAGGCTGACAGATCAGGAAAGGTCAGATGAAGTTCATTTTTGGGCTGGCAGCTGAACCACCTGGACCCTGACTCCTAAATGCCAGTAAAATTCCTTCAGGATCTTTATTTTCTCTTTTCTGTTCTTGGGGGTTTGGAAAAAAGTGTGATGAGTCAGGTAATGCTGCTGCTTTTCTGAATGGCAGTTTAGAGTATTTAAAAGTGAAAGCAGGGGCTGGAAATATGGCTCAGTGTCAGAGCCCTGGGTTCATCCCCAGAACTGAACACACAAACCGAACAAGTGAGCAAATAGGAAGCATTGGACAGCTGAATACCCCATCTTAGTCTTTGGCATCCCTTGCCTCCTCCTCATTTGATACTCAATGTTTGTCTTTGCAATTTTGCTTAAAGCCAACTGGAATAAAAACATTATTTGCCTAGTGCCTACAGAGCACTGAACCCAAGGTTGAGAACACAAAGCCATGGTTCTTGTCCTCATGGAGCTTACATTTCTCAGCATGCGAGCCTGCTAGCAACCCAAGGGTAATGCATGATTAGCAAGGACCAAACATCCAGGGCAGAGCTCTGCCTGAAAGTATAGGAAGAGAAGTCTGAGGATGCAGTTTCTGTACCAGATATCTGCTCTATACTGGCTCAACTAAAAAACCTGCTATGCTTCATTCTTCTTTCTCTCCCTCCAACCTCTAAGCCATTGATAAATCCAGATGGCTCTATCTGCAAAATGAATTCCAAGTCCAGGTTCTGCCCTTAACCATCAACTGCCCCCTTCCTCACATGGCACCCAGAGTGAAGTGAGTCCTTGAAAGGATAAGGAACTTTGGTGACTGTCCAGGTGCATGGTCTTTGATTTATTTAATTTATTCAAATAAATTAATAAATTAAAAGCAGAATGTTGTGGTTTGAGGCCTTCCTGGTGTCCCATCTCATCTCCCAGTGCTCTCCCTCTGTATTTGTGTGGTCAGTAAAGGGTTTTTTTGAGGATGTGACATTTGGTCTAAAATCTGAATAGCCTGAAGGACTTGAACATTTCTGTACCAGATATCTGCTCTATACTGGCTCAACTTGGAGGTGCAAGTTGAGGTGCACTAGCCCACTTGGAGTCCTCTGTGGCCAAGTACATACCATCTAAGAGATCATGCACCCACTCTTCCCTCCACCCGGAGAGCTCATCCCTCTGACTTCCATGTTCAAGTTCTTCAGGCTATTCACATTTTAGCCCAAATGTCACATCCTCAAAAAAGCCTTTACTGACCACACAATTAAAGCAGCTCTGGTTTGTTTTCTTGTATGTTTCTCCATTGAAATGTAAACTTCAGGAGGGCAGGGCCCTTCCCTGTCTTGCCTAGACACGTATCCCTGGGGTCTGCACAGTGCTTGGCTTACAGTAGGTGCTTGATAAGTAGTTATCAAATGACACATTATCTCCAAGGTTCCTTCCAACTCTCAGTGTCTACGACAAGAGTATAGCTCTGATACAACTTCTTTAACCTTTCCGACTCCCCCACCCTCCCAGTCAAGACCCCCCTTTCCCATGAAGTCCCTCCTGCTGACTTGACCACATCTCACTGCTCTTTTTGTGCTTGGACCCCTTAAAATGATCAGAGCATCCCCCAGAACCTCTGATGCCATACGACACAATTTCTGGTGTCACCTGCTTTTATAAAAAAGCAAATGTGTACTCGTTCATTTCAAGTTCTTAGAGGTTCTTAGGAACATCTCTATTTTCATTCAAATAAATTAATAAATTAAAAGCAGAATGTTGTGGTTTAGATATGAGATGTCCCCCAAAAGCTCATGGGTGAAACAACGCATGAGTTTTCAGAGGTGAAATGATTAGATTGTGAGAGGTTTAACCAACTAGTAGATTGATCTTCTGATATTCAGGATAAACTGGGCAGTAACTGCAGGCAGGTAGGGTACGGTTAGAGGAAGTTATCAATGTGGGTGTGACTTTGTGGTTTATATTTGCCCTTGATGAGAAGAGCTATCTCTGTGCTGTACTGTTTTGAGTGCTTCATGCCTATCCGCCATGATGCTCCATCTCACCTCAGGCCCAGAGTTATGGAATTGGCTGACCATGGACTGAACTTCTGAAACTGTAACTCAAAATAAACTTTTCCTCCTTTAAGTTGTTCTTTTCAGGTCTTTTGGTCTCAGCAACACAAAAGCTGACTAAAACACAGAATTATCTATTTTTCTTTGCATAAAGGTTTTCTTTGTGCATGATGGATGCATCTATCTACTATAAATTGAATATCCCTAATCTGAAAATCTAAAATCTGAATCCTGAATTTGAATTTTGGAGCATTTCAGATTTCAGATTTTCAAATTAGGAGTGGTCAAATGGTCAAGTTCATGCAAACATTCTGAAATCCAAAATACTCGAAAATCTGAAGCATTCCTTGTCCCTGGCATTTCAGATAAAGGATAATCAACCTGTAGCACTATGGGATAATCTTGAGATGAAAACCAATGGATAACATTTTTGAGACTGAACAGAGTGGGGAGGACCCTAGGGTCACTGCAGGGCTGCATGGCCCCTCTGTGTAATTTAGAAACAGTCCTTCTGGGTATGACTAGTCCACTGAGGGCTGGATTCCAGCTCCCATTCAGCCACCATGTTGCATGCTTTGGTACAGCTGGACATGTAAATGCAGCGGACCTGGTGAGAGGGTGAGTGAGGGGAGCAGGGAAAGGGAAACAAAGGACAGTGTGGAAGTGCTCTAGTACTGGCCCTTCCCGTCTAAGAGTTGGGCTGAGGCTCCCTTCTGGGGGGTATCTGCATGACTAGGTACAACAATGACCAGCTGCCCACAGGCTGCAAAAGCAGGAGGGGCCATGGTCAGGGACCAATGGTAGGTCAGGATCTTTGCCTTTCATCATTCCAGAAAAGCAACGGGAAAGAGAGACTGACAAGACCAGAGACATCAGGCAAATGAACCTTCAGAAGCATCTCGGGGAACTTCTGCTGCACTTGGCACAAAATGACCCAGGAGATGACCTGCAGAGGTGTGGTCATCACGGGGGTAGAGCTGGGAGACACAGCTACTTGGCCTTCAAGGGGCCAGGTAATGTGTGGAGCCACCGACTTTAGGAACATGCTGCTTTTGGGCCTCCGGGAGCAAGAAAATGAAAACCAGGGATGGAGAAAAAACAAGGGGCCTGGGAACTGGGTTAACCACCCAAAAGGAAGTGGTAGTGGGGTGAGGGCAGCCTCAATTGTCTATGGCCCCGAGGTCTCAAACTTAGGGTGCTATAATTTGTATCTTGAATGTCCCTCAAAGGCCCATGAAGGTTTGGTCCTCAGCCTGGCACTTTTCGGAGATGGTGGAACCTTTAGGAGGTGGGGCCTAGTAAAAGTACATTAGGTCACTGGAGGGGTGCCCTCGAAGGGGATATTGGGAACCTGGCCCTTCCTGTCTGTTTTTCACTTCTTTGCCACCACAAGGTGAGCTGCTTCCTGCTATGTGCTCCCCCTAAAATGTGCTGCCTCACCACAGACCCAAAGCAACAGTGCCTGTACTGAAACTTCTGAAATACTGAGCCAAATAAGCCTTTCCTCCCCTTAAGTTGATTATTTCAGATATTTTATTATAGCAATGGAAAACTGACCAACAGCAAAGGTAAAGTGATAGATGGAACCAAGAGAAATGAAGACGAAGGTCTGCGGGAGATTAGAGAAGAGTGGCCCCATGATCACTCCAAAAAGTCTAACGAATCTGAAGAATCAGCAGAGCATGGCCCTGTTCCAAAGCACAAGCATCCCAAGAATCCACAAAGCCACCCCAGACAGTGTCATGCTGGGTCAGCAGAGAGACATTTCTATGAGAGCCCACTTAGTGACAGTGTCCTCATTAGTCCTTTTTCTCATTGATGTTTCCTCTTCTATTTCATTACAGCAACAAAAAAGAGAAAAGCCAGTAGTCTACTTAGAACAACAGAATTTGAGGTTGTTGTCACAGATGCAAGAGGTGTGTTATCCTACAGCTGTGTGGAATGGACAGGTCTGGGCCTGACTATATCTAGATGTGTGTATGTGCGTGCGTGTGTGAGTTGTGTGTGTGTGTGTGTGTGTGTAAAGACCCTCAAGTTTTGTACAGGGAGGCTGGGTCTTAGAGGCCAGGCAAGCTTGGGATGGGATCTTATTGGGGCCCAGAGGGATTTGTTCTATTATTCTCTCTCTCTCTCTTTCTCTTTTCTTTTTTACAGTGATGGGGATAGAACCCAGGGCCTTATGCATGTTAGGCAAGTGCTCTACCACTGAGTTTCACCCTCAGCCCCTATCACTGTCTTTCATTTTAAACTTTTAAAATACAATAGTAGATTTGCCTGTTTTATGTAGATTTTTCTCCATGCTCTGCCCAGAACCATATATATCCTCCTAAGCTAGCACACCCAAATGGGTTTTTCTGCTATCAGGCCCTCTTCTGCATGGTGTGAGTTCTATCTCTTCTCACTTAAATAAATCATGCTCCATTTACTCTTAAAAAGAAAAGAAACAAAGCAAAACAAAACAAGTAAAACCCTACAGGAGTAGAGACTTCATAGTGAACCTCCCTATGCCCAGTTTCAACATGTATTGCCATTTCACTGATTTTGTTTCACTTACCTCTTCTGCTCCCCCTTTTGGAGGGGCATTTAAAAAATAATTTCTAAATATTTCAGACATAAACACTTAAGTGTTTTAAAAACAGAACTATCATAATATTATACCAATGTGATTAACAAAATCTACTCAAAATCATTTAGTTCCCAGTCCATATTCAATTCCCCCTAATAATCTAAAAAAATCTCCTTTTAAAATTTAAGTTGCTTTTTCAGGATTCAAAAAAGATCTTTCCATTGCATTTATTAATACTTCTAGCAAGTTCCTGAAATTCTGTGATAGATAGCTCTCTTCATCTCCCCTAGAAGGGTTTTAGGACTTCAATAGGCTCAGTGTCCCAACAGGAAACATTCTACTCTCCTTTGTGTCTAAGTCCAAGATACCAAATTCTTACTTCCCTGAAGGGAGAGCAGAGTGGTGGCCTGGTGAGCAGGAAGCCTGCTTCCAGGATTAATAGAAAACACCTCCACTGTCTTTGCAGCTCAGGTAGAGAACAGGTAGAGGGAAAGCGACAAGGAAAACCTATCTTTACTCAGAATCACAGAAGGTTTTCAGCTACCCAACTTGGTTACCAACCCCAGCACAGCCTAACCTACACAGAGAAGGGTCAGTGAAAGCCACTGTGGTGGTATGTGTTGACTTCCAGCTTGAAGCTGGTGATAATCATCTAGGTTAGAGGAAGGCAAGCCCTAAGATTGTCCTGGGGACTCAGCTACAGGAAGCAGAGAGAGATAAGGTAGGATTCTGACATTAAAACCTTTCTAAAGGAGACCGCCTGCCAGTTCACACATCTGATAGATGCACAAGAAGATGGTGTCAGCAAGAGCTCTTTTTATAATAAGAGACCTGAAAGCATCTTACTGAGCAACAAGTAGGACATCTGTGGTGGCAGCTGTCTTGGTACTCAGTAATATCTCCTGAGCAAGGGCAGACTTGGAATTGCCTATTATTATTAGGCAAGCATAATGCTGCAACATATGCTATACCAATAAATTACATGAATTAATAATGATCATATAGCACATGATATAATAAAACCTTAATTGCTCGTAGAATCCAGCTTCCAAAGGACAAAAAGAGGAGTATAGATGGAGACTGGATAATGGATACTCCAACACACTTAGATAGAAGGAAGAAGTACTAACATTCTACAGGGCAGCAATAGGGGATGGGAGGACTATGGATCCTAACATGTTATATATTTTATGAAGAACTAGAATAGATTAGCTCCAACGCTGCAAACTCAAAGTAATGCTAAGGAAGTGGAAATGTTAATTGCCCTGACTTGATCACTGTATATTTTATACAAATATCAAAATAATCACATTGATCCCCATAAGTATGCAAAATTATTTACATGTTAATAAAAAGGTTAAAGACATTTAAGGAGATAGAGATGTTAATTATTCTGAATTGATCATTACGCACTGTAGGCACATATTGAATTATTACTTGGTACCCTATGCATTTGTACAATTGAAATAATGACTTAAAATAAGTAAAAGTAATTACAAATTTTTTAAAAACACCACTCAAATGAGTTCTCAAATGCATTCAGATATTACTATTACAAGGAAACCAGAATCAAAGTTTTCCCCAAGATGGTAATGGTAATGCTTCAATATACAGCCAAGATGTTCAGCAGTGCAAGGTACTTGGGGAGAGAAAGTGGGACCATAGGTCCCCAGTGCACAGCCATCCTGCATGGCTAGCCCCAGCTTCCTGATCTCAGAGTCAGACAGTGTGACAGGTACCTGCAGCCTCTGGGTTTGGGTAGGAACTTTTATCCTCATTCTCATTGGGTTGGAGGTCGTCCATGTTTATCTAGGCAGTAGAGGAGATAAGAAAGAAGAATTAAGTCAGATAAGTGCCACAGTTTTCAGGGCTCAAAATAGACTTGAAATTGCATTATATTAAGTGACTGAACTCAAATATTTACACTTGTCAGTGTGCACACCCTCTTGAGGACATTAGCAGAAGGCTGGGTTCAACCCACCATGCCTTCTCATCATCTACTGAACCCTCCTGTTCCAGCCCCATGGCTTCTCTGTCTCCTTTGGGTAGCTTCCTTCTTTCTCCATTTCTTGGGTGACTGGCCTTCCTTTCTCAATGACAGCCCCCACAGCTCCTGGAAGGAGGCAGCTACTCACCTTGGTGGTGGGGGGAGACTCTCCATCAGCAGTAATGGATTTCAGCTCAATTTTCTCCTCCTTGGTTTCCTCCACTGCTGGCTTCTCCACTACCTCTTGTTTCTTCTCTGGGCTGGCAGTCCTGGCCGGTCAGCAGGAAGAAAAAAAAAAAACAGAAATAAATGTTTACTGGAGTGACAGGAGGCAGTGTAGAAAGGAACTACCTTGTGTTTGGTAGGGTCATTGGGCGCAGAACCCCTGGATCTACATTCATTGATCTTTTCCCAGGGTTTGCTGCAAACATGGCTTAATCCCAAGTGCCACTGGACTGAGCCATTTCTGGCTCTGTCTGGCATTTTGGTGGCATCTTGTAGCTACTCAGTGGCTTCAGTCCCTAAATCAGGGAACTGTTCTGAGTCTTGTTTAGGATTGGTTCTGGGAGGAACTCTACTTGATACCCAGCAGAGGCATGGCCAAGGACAGTCCTATCTAGATAGCAATGGAGCACAATGCGGGACCCAACACTGGGTCTTTTGCCTTCCCAACACTGCAGATGGTACAAAATAGTGAGGAAGCACTGCTCCTTAAGCTGGAGCTATTTCCCCTCTGAAAGCTGCCTTCCTCCTCTCTCCTCCCATGGCTTCAAATCTCAAAAGCAACCCCCCGACTTTCTAGACAGGTAAGGAAAGGCAGCACCTTTGTAGAGACTATCATTCACGATGGTCCTTGTTTCTGAGCAATGCCTAGGCATTAAGGGAGAGGACCAACTTACTGTAGGAAGCCCTGGACCCAGTCCCTTCCAGAAGGATCGCGCCTAGCGGTTGGTGTCATGCCCCTCTCCCACCAGTGAGAATGGCATTCCTGAACTGGGCTGGGTGAGCTTAGAGGGTTACCTGGCCAGCTTCTTTCTCTCTTTCTCTTCTTCCTCTTCCTTTTGGGCAGAGGTGAGACTCTCGGCATCAGCCAGGTTGTCCACAGCAATGGCCAAGAATACATTCAGTAGGATATCTGTTTGTGTCCATTCTTAAAGAAAATGACCTTGGCCTTGGGGTGTTTGATGGGCATAGGGAGCAGGGAGGGTGCAGGACATGCAGAAGTGGAGTTCCCCAGCAAGGCTCACTTCGAGGGGTTCAGAGCCCAACAGTGTCTCTTCATCTCTTCCTTCCCCATGACCCTGCTCACTATCAGGAGTTCTCTAGGTGGCTGAGATCAGGATAGCTTGCAGGCTGGAGTGGGGCTGGGAGTGAGGCAGCAGGCCCTGCCTTGCTCTTTAATTGCTGGGTTTCATTATTGGTTTCCCCACTGAGATGACTGGCTGTAATTGACATTATAAGCAGTATTGTCTCTAGCAGAATGCAGAATGCTCTTAAGAGCGGTTCATTATAACTGGGAGCTGAGGAGGTGGCCTGTACCTCTGCCAACTCTTAATGTGAGCCTGTACATACAAAGACCCTTGGAGGGTTTGGTTGGAGCTGGCCAAAAGCTTGGGAATTCCTAACTGAAGCAGTCATTTGTCTGTTTCTCCCCACCCTGCCTCCCCACTTCTTACCAACACAAACACTGTGGATCAGAAAACTGCAAAAGAGATAGAGCTTAAAGGGTCTTAAAGTTAGTTAAATTGACCTTCACCCCTGAGCACCCAGAAACTCACACCATTTCTAGGACAGGGAAACCGAAGCCCAAGCAGGTGAAGGGCTTGTCCAAGGAGGTTACTGAACCCCTCACCCTTGGGCCCTGGAACATAGTAGGGGCTTTGCATGCATCATCCTGTTCAAACTCACAATGACCCCTTAAGTAGCAATTACTATTATTCTATTATAGGCGGAGTATCCCTTATTTGAAATGCTTGGGACTTCAAATTTTTTAAGATTTTATAATATTCACATATAAATAATGAAATTTTTTGGTAATGGGACCCAAGTCAAAACATGAAATACATTATTCACATATACCTTGTACATGCACCTGATGGCAATTTTATGTGGTATCTTAAATAATTTTGTGCATGAGATTTATGATGTGGAGTTTCCCACTTATGGTGACATGTTGATCAGAAAGTTCTGAATTTTGGATTTTTGGCTTCTGGGTGTTCAACCTATAGAGCATTTGCAGATACCAAGGTACAGAGCCTTTAATTTGCTGGAGGTCTTGAGCTGGTACAATGTGAAGCTTTGTCTGTAGTTTTAGAGTTTGTGTTTTCTGCATTAGCTGAAGCTGGGGTTTGACCCCTGAGACTTGGGCCAAAGCTGTTTCTATTTACCACCCAGGTTCTGGACACAACTCCCATGGGGTTCCAACCAGGGGAAGCAAAGAAGGACCTGGGTTTGAGATCCTGGGACATGATCTTAGCTGCGACCAGGAAGGATCTGTTGGGTCTGCCTGTGACTAAAGTCCTGGAGAACAAGTTCAGAGAGAGGAGTCTGACCGAAAGCAGGGAGGAGAGATGAAGGTCATTTCAAGGATGATGGCTCGGTACTCCTTCACTAAGCAGGTGTGACAGCCCCAGGGCTGTCAGGGGCCCCATCCCTAGGGTCCTTAGTATCATAAGTCTGTGTGAGTGGCTGCACTGGCCAGAAGGTCAGGGGGCGCCATCCACCTAGCTTACAATCAGGACGTGCCTCCTGGAGTTGAGCGACGCTGCAGCCTGAACAGATTCAGGAACATCAGTGTACATTCTCTCCTATGCCAAAGCTGTGGGCTTCCACCCAGACCCGCCTCCATGCTAAAGTGATTCTAAGCTGGGCCATGTTTTTTTCTTCCCAGGGCAGCCTTCCCCAGCTCTCCTGGGGTCCCTGTGGATGGCAACCAGTGTTCAGCCAGAGCCAGGGCCTGCAGATGACACCCAGGTGGCATTGTGCTGCAGGCTGAGGGTGGGGGCAGCAGGGGTTGGGGGCAGCAACAAAGGATACAATTTCCACAGATGAAGAGGATGATGAAGTAAATACAGACTAACATCCCTGGAAAAGAGGGGCCGCCATAAGCCATGATCCCATCATACATCACCGAATTCCAGTCCTCCCCGGTCAGGATCTGAATGACACATTCCCACCAATAAGGGACACAGCGTTAGACCAACAGCAAACCCCAAAACTCCCCTGCCCTGCCCCAGTATGCGAACACAAATCTCTTTTCCATTTTTATCTCTTCTTCTAACCCCCAATTCTCCTCCCCAGGGTTACTAGGCTATTGAGCTGGGCAAGTTTGACTCTATCCTTAGACAAGATGCACGGCCACTGGCAAATATTACTTGGGGAGGGACTGAAAAGGCATTGTGGTCAAAATCTCTCCTACTGTTTATATCCAGTGCATGAGACGATCACCCTTAGCCCTTCCTCTGGGGAGGGGGTCAGTGCCCCTTTACTGTGTTCATGGTGCCAGTGCTGTGCTAAAGCCAATTGTCCCAAACATCAGACAATGGGCATCATCCTTAGATCCTGGCAACCCGCACATATTATTTATTTTTCTCTAGGAGTCAATCTACTTTTAGACTTAAATAGTGCTACTTTAGCCCTGCTGTAAGCCGAAATAGCTATGAAATCACGACTCTCTGAGTTACTTAGGTCTTTTCCCAGGGGCAAGCAAAAACAGAACCCTATCACTCTCCATTCCCCAAAATAAGCAGACTGTTTTTCTTTTTTCTGTTTGGGCTTTCATGTAGATTTAATTTGACTAAAGGGTTATATGGCTAGGGGAGCATTTTTAAACGATTAGGTTTTTCCTTCCAATGGTTTGCCCACCAGAGGAATTCCAATGGAGTTGGATGAGGGGAAACTACAAAAAGAGCTGGAGACACCAGGGACCCTCAGGCCTGATCTAGGCTGGCCTTGTTCACATTGAAAGGGTGACACTTTCCACCACCTTTTTCAAGGCTCCTTCTTCCTCCCCACCCACCTCCTCCACCACCGAACCACCCTCAGAATCCCAGCAGAGAAGAGTCCATACCTGAAACACAGTGAGGAGGGACTGGGGGAAGTTATCAAATGTGCTCCTCCGAGTCTGCATCTCATCAAAGTTGAACTTTCCTCCAAAGAGCTGCATCCCCAGGAGGGAGAAGATGATGATAAAGAGGAAGAGAAGCAGAAGCAGGGAGGCGATGGACCGCACAGAGTTCAGTAAGGAGGCCACCAGGTTGCTCAAGGAGTTCCAATACCTGAGGACCAGACGAGGCAGGTCAGCCTGTTTTCCCTCCGCCTTCCTTCCCATCAATCCTCATCTAGGAGCCCATTGAACGTTCTCAGATGAGTCTCCACCACCTGCTCTTTTTCTCTTTCCTGGGGCAGGGGTGGAGGTGGTGGTGTGAACTGGACTCACAATTAGAGTGCAGAGCTACTAAGTTCAGGTTCCAACATCAGTAATGTGTAATGATGAAGAGATGGGGTGCTGGGGTCAGAAGCCTGAGTTCCCACCCAGCAGGGCCAGCTGCTGGCGGCATGTCCCTTTGGACAAGCCACTTAGTTTTCCTATTTTCTGCCTCCCCGTCTGAAAAAATGGAGATAACAGTAGCATGTACTTCAACAGATAATTGGGATTTGCATGAGATAATCCCCCTCACCCCCAAAGGTCCATAGTATAGTGCCTGGCATGCAGTTGATAAAAGTTAGTATTTATTGTTATTATCACTGTTCACTGTTAGTCTTTAGGTATGGATTAAGAAGTATGAATTAAATTATCTGTGAGTAAGAGAGGGTGCAAGGGGGATGGGGTTGTGGCTCGGTGTACACTTGCCTAGTACACGTGAGGCACTGGGTTCGATCCCCAGCACCACGTAAAAATAAAATAAAGGTATTATGTCCATCTACAACATTTTATATATATATATATATATATATATATATATATATATAGAGAGAGAGAGAGAGAGAGAGAGAGAGAGAACAAGGTTTAGCATAGTTTCCCACATTTACCCTGTCCTAAGGATTGGGTTTTATAAAGCCATTCTTTTGGAAATTCTAATTCAGTAGCTGTAGTTGGGGGCTCAGATATCTGTATTTTTAAAAAGCATCCCACAAGACACTGACAGCAGATAAGTTTGGGGAAACACTTATCATAACATTCCTATCATACCCACTGGGGACAGCTCAGAGCAAGTGTCCTCTGTGAGCAGGGGGGTGGTGGGTGGGATACCTGGAGAAGAAGTCCCACTCCTTAGGGTCACTGAGCCCCTCCACTATTTGTACAGAGGCCCCTCATGGCCCAAGAGAACCCCATTCTCTTGGAAAAGTGAGCGGAGGGAACCTACCAATGGCTCCTGGATGTGGCTTGGGCACTTGTGCAATGGTTAGTTCAGGATCAGGAAATACCCAGTAGCAATAGGGACACAGCTCCAAATGGGGTTGTGCCTTCCCCCACTGCTCTGCCTCTGGCCTGCCTGCCTTCCAGAACACTATTCTGATTCCCTCCTCTTAAGAGATTCCCTGCTCATCATCAACGCCTTCAGGGAACTGCTTCTGCTACTTCAGCACATGACCTGTGAACCAACCTGCGGCTGCCCCACAGCTGCACCCCAGCCCGGGCATTTCTCTCCAGAGAATGGTTCCATATTAAGTAAGGGAAAGAAGAAGATGGGCCAACAGTTTGGATGTAAACATGAACTTCCTCCCAACCTGGGTCTTTAATGTTGCTTTCTCCTTTGCAAAATCAGCCTGTCTCCATCTTTCTTTTGCCTGCCAGTCACAGTGGCCAAATTCAGGATTGGTTTGAAGACGGACCCACAGGATTTGCTGATGGAACGTGAGAGAGACATGAAGACTAACCCCTCCAGCTCCCATGTTTGGAGAGCATTCACATACATTTATTTGTATCTGTATTTATATCTGTTCTATAAATGCTCTTACAAGTTTTTTTTATTTTTATTTTTGGCAGTCTTATCTCACCAAAATAAACCCTTAAAATAGTTTTGGAGGGCAGAGATCAAAGAGTTATTTTGTTTGTTTGCTTGCTTGCTTGCTTGCTTGCTTGCTTGTTTGTTTCTCCTCCATGTCCCCCATCTTTGGGGAACTTTATATAACTTCTGCATGACCCAGTGTATGGATTCAGCTTGACATGACCACAGCCATCTTGAGTCATAACTACCATGATTCCCCAGAGCAGCCCTAGTCGGTTTTTCCTGCATAGCTTTCTAGCAAACTATCAATAGACAAAGCCATCAGTCATATGTGGGGTATACAAGACCCTGACTTCAGGGATGTACCTGACTCTTCCAGGTTATCTTGAGATAAGCCAGGTACATTCCAGGCAGGATAAAGCCACCTTTGTCCTAACCCATAAATACACCCCTCTTTCTGACCCAAATTGCAGGGGTCCTACTGGTCTTGCTGCCACTCAGGACCATGCTTCAAACTGTAAGTCCCCCAATAAACTGCACTCTGTGCAGACCTAGATCTATTTGCTGCTCTGTCTTGGGTCTCAAGGCACCCTGGGGCTGGTCCTCGTATTTCAAGGCTGGATTGCTCTGAAACACCCAACAAAATTGATAGGTTGCTGGGATGTTGTGGTGATCTGCTTAAAGCAAGACGTAATGGAACCTCTTTAGGGGTAGAACACCCTCCCCACTTATATTTACAGTTATTTTCCAAACTTACCTGGAGAGAAAAACCCACTGAGTGCTTTATCATTTCCCAAATGCTGATTCCCAAGTCTCACCTAGAACCATGGTGCTGAGGCTTAGTCTGCACAGAGTGCAATTTACTGGGGGACTTACGGATGGAAGTATGATCCTGGGTGGCAGCAAGACCAGCATGCTTCTTATGCAAGCTGGTCCAGTACTTGTCAATAAACTGGTATTGGGAACTAGTAACTTCAGAGCATATTGATAATGAAAATTTCCAGCTGAACAGAGGGGTGGGTATCTGCATGTGGATTGAGGTCATAGGTCCCTGAGAAGTCCTCTGTGTGCTCAACTGCCATGGAATATTCTAGAAAAGTCTCAATATCCATGGAAGACTGGAGCCTTAATTACCATGAGGTACACAGACACATGGGAAATAATTCACTTTAGTCTTGTTCAGCTACATCTGACATCCATGAGACCCCTAGAGGGAGCCAGAAGAGAAGGCCCCTGTCTTTGGAGAGAAAGTCACCATATATGGGTTTAAGCTTCGCAGAATAGACCAGACTAGGAGGCAGAGAGGAAGGTGGGGTGGGAGGAACATTTCCTGACCTGGGGCCCCTTGGAGTGCCCGGGGCTCCAGGGAAGAGGAGGCTGAAGCAAACTGAGTCATCAGGAGAGAAAAACCCGTCGGGAGTGCCTGGGCATGAGAATGGCCACTGGTGAGTACCCTGGGGGGCGGGGCTGGCAGCGGAGTTGGCATTAAGAGTGGTCATGGTCAAGAATGGCAGACCATGGGGCTGGGATTGTGGCTCAGCGGTAGAGCGCTCACCTAGCACGGGCGGGACCCGAGTTCGATTCTCAGCACCACATAAAAATAAAAGGCATTGTGTTGTGTCCATCTACAAAAAAATAAGATTCTCTCTCTCTCAAAAAAAGAAAAAAAAAAAAGAATGGCAGACCTTGAGGCAAACACTGGTTTAAACTGTTTAAAAGGTTAAAAGAGAAACCTTTCCTGTGCTACCCCACACCCCCCCTCCCCCCCTGCCTTCCTCACCCCAGGGACTACCCTAGAAAAGTCTGGGCGTCACATGGTGAATGGATGGTGGTGCATAACACCACTATGGTATGCCCAACGTCCTACCTCACTCCGCAGGGCCTTCCTCATCTCAGAACATGAGAACTGGAGGGCAGTCTATTATGCCTCTCTCAGCCCATGTTGGCAAACTCCATCTTCAAAGCAGATCCTGATTTGGCCAGCTCCCATCACCCCTATCACCTTGTCCAGGCTGCCAGCCTCCTTCATCTGATTTGTGCGTTAGCCTCTTACCTGGTGGGCCTGCCTCGACCCCAGCTGCCTGTAGCAATTTTCCATACCACAGCAGCATCACAGCATGCTCTCGCAGCATGAGCCACATCAAGCCTCGACCACACTTCGGCCCTCTAGCTACTTCTTTTGCTCCTTGGTGTAAAAGCCCCTGAGTTCTCATGAAGTCCCACAGACCTGCGAGTTCTGGCTCCCACTGCCTCAGCAACCTGCTACGCTCTTCCTCCCTTGGTAACTCCAGTCACACCAGCATCCTCTGTTCCCACAAATTCCAAATGCCCCACCTTCATGGTCCTTGCTATTTCTGCTGTCTGCAGGGCTCTTCAACAACCCTTGGGATCCTGGAGTCCTCTAACCTCCCAATGAAGCTTTCCCGGACCTCCAGGCTAACACCATATCCTGCTTTAAAAATTATCATTTATCACCACCTGACAGATGCTTAGTTCTTTGTCTAGTGTCTCCCTTCCTTCTCTAGAATGTAAGGTCCAAGGGAAAAGGAATTCATTTGTTTTGTTTATATCCCTAGCTCTTTCATCAGGGCTTGTCCTCATAAAGGTGCTACACTAGTATTCTGTTGAAGGAATGAATGAATGAATGAACTTTACGGTAAGTGTGGCACATCTGAATTGACTGAAGGGAAATAAAAGAGGCCCTAGAGTCACAGACACCCCAGCATGTGTTTGTGTGTGCATTGTGAGGTGGTAGCAGGGGTGGGTGGTGTGACCTCTCATGTATATACCTAAGTCGAAAATGCAATGAGCCCAACCATGAGGAATGGCTGTCGATAGCTTCTCACATGTCATTCCTATTCTTTTAGTTTCCCAAAACCCATGGATAGGGAGTTTCTGATATTCCTAACTGTTCCATCCCAAGACCATGTATCAAATTAATATGGATCAGTTTTCCTAAAGAAAACAGATTGCCATGGTTTTGAGATCCTTGGGTAGCATCCCTGGAAGAGCACTGTGAATGGGAGAACGCCCATCCTGGTGTGCATGTGCCGGCTCTGATTACGAGATGACTGCACCCAGGTACACAGGGACCATCATGCCCACCACATGAGGGACACCTGGGCTCAAAAGATACTGCTTTGACCAGTCATGTGGGTAAGCCATGGTTAAGACAAAAGGAAATCATGGCTGCATATGCTGCTTTTCTTCCATGGGCAGTTGCTTCAACAGGGCAAGATGCCCAAAGGTTGGCCTGCCACCTGTACTTTCTGTCCCTTTGGAAAAGAAGTAAAAGAGACAAGCTGGAGCCAGTGGCCTGGCATTCT